ACTGTGAATACTCTTTATAGTGGAAAGTCTACGGAAAGTCAGTGAGGCAGCGAGAAATGATCTAATATACACTTCCCCCCAGCCTGTTGTCTTACCTTCAGTGTTTTGAAGATCTGGGACCTGCATTGACAAATCGAAAGTTCATGAATTATGTGACGAGAGGCGAGACTAACAATGGTAGTAACTGCAAGAGAATCGAATCTCGTACCGATAAACACCCACTCTTTAATGATGGATCATTCAGGAAATCCACTAGATAGACATGCACGGCGAGTAGGACGAGCGATAATGTGCTAGTCTCCAGAAATACTCAGGGTGTTAGAGATGCCGGAGCACGGTGATGACTGGCTGGAGGCTTTCCAGTGATAAACTGAAGCTCAGGAGTGAACGTTAGTTGTACTTTCATTGACGTACGCGTGAAAACGTATGAGACACTAATGTTCCAGTCAGGCAGATGAACAAGTCCATCTCAATTCCAGACAGAGGCACAGCTGTGTCAAAGCCAAGTCAGCAGAACATGCGGAATAAAGATTCCAGGTCACGCTCGTCCCTTTCACTGTCACTAGCAGAGGATGCCCAGTCAGGAGTATCATGTGTTGAGTTAGTGGAGAAGACCCATCCACCAGATAGCTCCTGGACTCCCACATGTGGTCCATTGAACAGATCAACCACACACACCCATGTTGGCAGCAGATCCATTGACCGACTCTAATCCTTCTGGTATCACCTGTTTTTTGTGGGCACAGCACTGGACGGTAGGGGAAGAGATGGCATCAACTAGCTATACATACCCAGTCCACTGAAGTTCTCACGCTAATGCTCACTTTGACTGAGCTCAGACTAAGTATAGCTGGCAGAGAAAGAGACTCCTATGGCTATCATAATCAATCACCAAGTTTGACAGATTGAGGCTGACAAATCTGCCACCACTCTTATAGCGTCGTAGGTGGAGAAATACGTTCTCGACTTCCTATCAACATCCATAGTGAATGTTGTGGGTGTGAGAGGAAGTAAACTACTATATATTCAGCAACTTAGATAAACAGTCTCTTTGGAATAACAAATGCTACTGCTTGTAAGTGTAAAGTGAGGCACATCTTGCGTAACTGCTGCACATTTAGTGTAAATACACATGGTCCTTTGTGTCAGTGTGCTAGCCTCATGGAGTCATGTCATCATAGACAGTAGTACTAACTCAGCTACATTCCGTAATTTGTGTTACAGCTAGGTGTGATAATTGGCAAGCGAAGTGAGCCCTCCTAGTTGTCAGAATTTTTCTTAGATGAACGGGCACTGCCATAGATTTAAAATACGGGTGAAACCCACGAATTATCTGATCCACACATTATGTTACGGAAAAGCAATTAGACAATGTTTTTTCAAGAAGTCACAATTAGAATGCCTAACTATGCGATGACTCGACCTAGCGAAGCTACCTACATTGAGTATCTACCTACACTGATTTGCCACTTCACCACATCACCTTAACTTCTTCTCATGGGCTGGTTATCTTGGTCAGAGTATATGCCTCAATAGCCTTCATGCGCTTTCAACAGCTTTCAACACATGGCATGTGGGCTCAATAACAGCAATAGTGTCTCCTTATGTCAGCATTTTCATACACATCAGTGCATGTGCAAACAAGCAAACACTTTTGTGGGTGATTGTTTATGCTAGTGGAAGTGCATTGATGAAAGTGAACTACATTCTTCTGTAACGAAGCACAAAAACTTAGCCACTAAGTAAGCTATTATGTTTACTCTTTGCTTTCTTCTGTCATTTCACCACCTCATAGGTAACTTCTTCCCTTTGGCTGGTTATCTTGGTCAGAGCATATGCCTCATTAGGAGAGACAGGAACATCAGTTGTCTTGGTGGTAGGGTTAGTGGCCTCTGCATAGGTCTCAGTCTTGTTCCTAGACCTCCTCATTCTAAAGATGAGTAAACATTGAGTGAGGATGACTGTGGTGAGAGTGAGGATCAGCAGTAGAGATACTGCTGACACAGCAATCACAGCTGAGCCGCTGGACTCCTCACTGCATGTACAGTCATTTTCCTTTTTGTGTATATTATTCAGGCACTGCCACATTCTGTAATTTTATACGTAATTCTTAATACGCGTGAAATGAGTGAAAATTGAACTGCTTGCTTCTCTTCCCAATAATGCCTTGCATTCCTAGTAGAAGAAGATTTTCATTAGGCTATATTCTCATCTCTGTGTCCCAGTGGTGGAGGTAGTTCAGGTATATACAGCCAGTGGGTCCAGTGAGGGGTGTGTCCCCACAATAGCCTTCGTGTACTTTCAACACATGAAGGCTATTGTATGCATTCAACACATGACATGTGGGCTCAATAACAGCAATAGTGTCTCCTTATGTGAGCATTTTCATACACATCAGGGCATGTGCAAACAACTTAACACTTTTGTGGGTGATTTTGTTTATGCTATAGTGGAAGTGCATTGAGTACAGAGACTAACAGTTACAGTATGTATGAAAGTGAACTACATTATTCGTAACGAAGCACAAACTTAGCTACTAAGTAAGCTATACGTTGACTCTTTGCTTTCCTCTGTCATTGCACCACCTCATAGGTAACTTCTTCCCTTGGGCTGGTTATCTTGGTCAGAGCATATGCCTCATTAGGTGAGACAATGCATGTTGTACTATGTGGACTGTTTCTAGTGCTGTGCTTTCAACACACGAAGGCTATTGTATGCGTTGGACACATGACATGTGGGCTCAATAACAGCAATAGTGTCTCCTCATGTCAGCATTTTCATACACATCAGTGCATGTGAAAACAACTATATACGTAACATTTTTGTGGGTGAGTGTTTATGCTAGTGGAAATGCAGAGACCAGCAGTATCTATGAAAGTGAACTACATTATTCTGTAACGAAGCACAAACTTAGCCACTGAGTAAGCTGTAATGTTTTCTCTTTGCTTTCTTCTGTCATTGCACCACCTCATAAGTGACCTCTTCCCTTGGGCTGGTTATCTTGGTCAGAGCATAGTGGCCTCTGCATAGGTCTCAGTCCTGTTCCTAGACCTCCTCATTCTGAAGATGAGTAGACATTGAGTGAGGATGACTGTGGTGAGAGTGATGATCAGCATGAGGGATACTGCTGACACAGCAATCACAGCTGAGCCACTGGACTCCTCACTACATGTACAGTCATTCTCTCTGTCTCCAGGAGCTGAGATAGGCACAATTTCAGCTAAAAAAATGTGAACAGATACTATGTAGAGTGAGGTCACTAAATGATTATAGCTAGCTAGCCTTTTCTCTGACCTACAGTGGGTGTTGCTATGATTGACAGCTCCTTATGGACGGTCTTTGTCACAATAATGTTCTTAACACCTGCAGGGACGTTAGGTAATTGGTACTGGTATTGTTATTCCAATCCTTTCTCACCTCCAGTGAGGGATGGTCTTGACAGGTCCTCATTGTTTGTCGGAACTGCATGACAGAAAAGTATGGGAGACATGGATATGCATTTCTCTGAGAGAGATACTAGATGCAGATAATGATCATTACTGTAGCCATCTCATTATTACTCGTTTAAACAAAAGCCCGGACTGTGGTAGTTATCATTTTGGCCACCATGTTTAGATGGGCCAAAAGGTTTCCTAAATATTGCACTCCTTTAGCAAATGAGCATAATTATAATAGTCACTCTCCTTGTCTATAACCCTGTCTGATCCCAGAGCATTAGCCTGTATCTACCTATACAAATTATTGTTATAAACTCACATGATGTTGATGAGGATAGTAAAGTTGCAAGATTAGATGAAGACAGCTTTGATGAAAGGGTTGGTTTAAGACAGGTTGGACCTTCTATATATGAAGATGGATAAGTAGATATTGGCATGGATAGAGAATTTGGTTGAAGACAAGTTGGATTGTCTATACCAATGAACCTGACCTCTCCCACATGAACCCACTGTATGGATGAGGTGTGTGATAGGTCCATTAGAATATAGACTGTGTGATACGATCCACTTTGGAAAGAGCCTCCAGAAAAGGTAACAGTTGAAAGAGAGTCACACGATGACTGGAGGGAGTCGTCACTAGCCCATACAAATGGGAGGCTATATAATATGTTGGTGGTAGCTGCTAAGTTGTAATCTGGATTGAGAAACACTGTGATAGATGGAATACCAATGTTCCAGTCAGAACAGTTGAACAAGTCCATCTCCATTCCAGTCAGAGACACAGCTGTGTCAAAGCCAAATGTCAGCAGAACATGAGGGTAAGAGATATTAGGAGTTCCCTCATTCCTCCTCACTGTCACTAGCTGAGATGCCCAGTTAGAGTTACTTGTGTCAATATCAGGAGAGCAACTATCAAACAGATAGCTTAGTGACCCACACACCATCACACCACCTACTAGTGGAGTACATCCCATTGTCACATTAGATCCATTGACTGACTCTATTCCTTGATGTACTACCTGCAATGATAAACCACCTGCACATTCAGTCACAAAGAGTCAATTAAAGTGATCTTGAATCCCTCACCTGTAAGATCAAATAAAACGTAGAGCAAAAACAGCCACTGCATTTTCCATATCATCCTGCAAAAAGGCTCAACGGGCTCTGCAACGAAATAACGCGCATGCGTATGAGCAAGGATTATTCCCTTCTCTCGACCTTTGGTGACCTTTTCTGCCTTTGCATCAGTATGGACTACCTTCCCGTGGTGTTGGGAAGAAGACGGCCATTCCTGGGCTCTGCCGTCTCCACCCCAGGGATCAGCAGGTCCGTATGTCCTCAGGGGAGACTGCTGGCCGTGGTGAGCGGCCGTGGAGCAGTGACAGTGTACTCACTGACGAGAGATACCAGTGGCAGAGAGTGTGTCGTGTCCTCTGACTCGTTCTCAAGGTTAGAACGGAGACTATCTATATTACCTAGGGCTATGGGTAGTTATAGTTTGACTGATCTACTGCAATATTAGCTGACATCCGGCATTGAACCCAGTGAGCATTAACAGTGTATAATTATAATACATAGTATAAAAGGAGGTCAGAGATTATAGCTAGCCATAGTATAAAATTACTACATTCGTGCACTATCTTAGAATTGTGTGCAGTAGACCCATAGAAGATATTCTGCTATACCTTCTGTGTTGTGTCGTACATCTCTCACTAGTAGTATGGTGTTCATGGTGGAGGTAGAATTATGTCTATTCCCAGTGTTCAGTGGGTGTGTCCGAGACAGAGCTCCACCTCTGACATTGTACTGGATGCTACCCAGAGCTCAGCCGGACAACTGGTGGGAGTGGGGAGTGGGGGAGATGTGAGATGGTGGAAAGTGAGGGAGGAGGAGGAAGGGGAGGGAGGGGGTGAAGGTGGAGAGCCTCTAAATGTGGAGGTCTTGGCTGTGCTCAAGAAGGCAGAGCTCAGCAGTCAACTTGGAAGATTTGGATATGGTAAGAAATTGTGGTGCTTTGCATGAACTAAAGAATGTTTTTGTATTCTTCGAGAAATGTGCACAAATTACTTTTTTTCTGATTTGTTTCCATTATGTAAATACATGTGTTAATGCCTTAAGTAGATATTCACACTGTATCATTTAATGTTCAAGCTGTTTTAATTTAAATGTGTGGCAATTGAAGACACTGTGGCTTAATAATTGATGAGCGAAGCGAGCCTCCCGAGTGTTGAATTTTTTTATGTGTGTATCATATGGGCACTGCCACGTACCGTAATGTTATGTATGTTTTACGTGATTCTAAGTATGCGTGAAATGCACAAAAATCTAACTGCTCTCTTCTCTCGCCAAAAACGCGTTGCATGCCTCTAGTAGAATTTAAATAGAATTAAGCTTAGTCGACGAATAAAGCGAGCCTCCTAGTCGTCTGATTGCGGAGTTTTCCTTTATGTGTGTATTCGGGCACTGCCACGTACTGTAATGTTATAGTATTTCTTAATACGCGTGAAATGAGCGAAAATGGAACTGCTTGCTTCTCTTCCCAATAATGCTTTGCATTCCTAGTAGAAGAAGATATTCATTAAGGCTATATTCTCATCTCTATGTCCCAGTGGTGGAGGTAGTTCAGGTACAGCCAGTGGGGTCCAGTGAGGGGTGTGTCCTCCTCCTGTTGAACCAGTCTCTCCTCGTCTCCCTGTCTCTGGACCTGGAGTTCAACAGACTGGCAGTGGGGCTGTGTGTCAGTGTGGAGCCTTGCCCGGAGGACATGGGGGATAGCCTCCTGCCTCCCAGGGCTGGCCGCATCGTCGACTTTGTCTTCTCCTCTCCTCTTTTCCTCCAGCTCTGTCACGATGGAACTGTCTGTATCCCCTCTTCTACACGTTGTTTAACACAATGATTGCTGGTAAACAGTTGGTTGCCTTTATAAAAGGAGTTATATGGCAGGCTAAAGAGCAACCTATCGCCAATTTTTCCATGTGTAGGTGTCTTCATTCGAGGCTTCATTAATGCATAGTGTTAGTCCCTAACTGAAGATGTGTGTATACAGTCATCGATAATGTGGAGCAGGGAGTGTGTGTGGGTGTGGTCAACACACTCCACTACTGTCACTACACCTGTGGCAATCTACCAGGTATGGCTACACATTGAATGTATCATGCAGTGAAAGTGAATGATGTAATGGAAATACGTTTGCACTGTGAGAGCCTTCCATGAAGATTTCCTCTGCACAATTCTGTGGGTATAGACCATTAGTTGTGCAGCAGGGTATTTGCCACTGGTTTTCTCTCACTGAAGTTACCTGCTATAAAATAGCCAGAAATAGGCTGAAAGCCTCACCTGACCTCTCTCTCTCTTACACACACTCTCTCTATCTGTCACAGAATCAGAGGAGTTGTTAACTCAGATCTCAGCTGCCCAGTTCACCCACCTTGCCGTGGCCTCTGACCTCTCCCAGCTGGCTGCGACCACCACCAGTAGCCATGTTCTACTAATCAACCTCCCTGACTACTTTGAGGTATTATACACACCTCACACATTATACAGTGGCGCTGTACAGTTTTTCACTCATGTTAAAATAGTCGTGTGTGCGTGGCATTTTTGCATACTTAGCATACTCAGGTATTTTTTGTTCCAAGTACAGAAAATTTTTTTCCTAAATGTTCATTCTTGTGTGAGCATGTGCTATATAGAAACCACTGTGGTCAGGTTTTTTGGTGTGGTAATTTGTGTTACCAGAATTTCAAGAATGGAAAAGAGAAAAAATTTCACTCCAACAAAAAAACCTGATCAGTTACTTCTACTCTCCTTCTCTCTAAAGGTGTTTCCTGGTCACTATCACCCACAGTTCCTCACCCCTCCCTCCCTCCACCATCATCACCACGCTCACCAGAGATCCTCGTCTCGGAGGAAGCACCACGAGTCTCACTCCATCGCCTCCGAGGAGGAAGAAGAGATTGCTCGTTATCGAGGGGGGGCCCAATTTCGAGGGGACGCGGTCCTCGGGGGCCATGTATGGGAACAGCGGTGGAAGGCGTTGTCTCAGAAGGTGGCCGGGTTTGAGCCGAGCTGTCGACAGAGGCTAAGTTTTGCCGGTACTTCCTCGTGTCCTCTTCCTCCACCGCAGCAGAGCTCACAGGATAGCGCGGGGAAGGGGAAGAGGGGGAGGGAGAAGCGTGGGAGGGTCGGTGGTGAGATGTCTGGTGCTTCTGGTGAGGGTGTGAAGAAGGCATGGTACGAAAGGGCCTAGTGTGAGCAATGTCTGTGAATTTACATCTGAACTTCCGTTCATTACCAAACTGAGCAAGACAAAACCAACTTCGTCCCATTCTAATTCCATTGATGAGTCTCATTCCGGTTCCAATGACTGTAGCAAGAATGGAACTGGGTCGCCCCAAAAACAGTCGTATTCCACCCCTTCAGTTTTGCCTCCGTTCTGGGCCGAGAGGGAGGGGAGGGTGTGGAGGGTTGTGCATGTGAGTGTGGAGGTAGGGAGGGTGGTGGTGTACTGTGGGGAGGGAGGGGAGGAGGAAAGGGAGGAGCCAGGGTGTTTTGCTGTCAACCATGCCCCAGCTAAGGCAGTGGTGGTCTATCACACTGAAGATATGAGCTGCTCCCTCACAAGGTATTGTTATAATTTTCGCGCCTCATAGTATGTACCGTAACCTCAGGTGTCTTTCTTCGCCATAATTTTTGAGCAGAAGAAAAGGTTTGTGAGTGTATTTTTGCTGAAATTTCTATTCACTACTGAATTTTCTTCTTGGAAAGTTTTCCGAAATTATAGCAGTTTACCTAGTGGATAAACCCTTACCTTTTTGTGTGTGTATTTCACCTCTCCCTCCTCTCTCTCTCTCTCCTGGCACAGATGTCCCAGAGCAGTGTGGGTGCTCCCTCCACCATGTCCCAGTCTCCCCTACTACCTCCTGTCCTCCCACACCCTCTCACTGGCCACTCTCTCCCTCTCTCGGGAACAGTTTGTCAGCAAGGTCTGTCCTGGGGACATCTTATATTGCTACTGTCTTGTAACACACAGTCGTTTCCACCCACTACTTGTATTGGGGGCCATACTGAAATCACTCTCAATTTGTATCTTTTGTATGCGAATTATACTTGCACTCATGGTAAGATATCACAGTGATTTCCGTGCTAAAAATCATAAATCCATGCTAAAGCAAAGAGGAAATGGTGTGCGAGAATGTATGTAGCTTATGCACTTCAGGAATGTTGCTGTCCTTCTAGTTGCTGATGTATGGGAGTGCAGTGGTGGCAGAGGAGGTGTGTCGACTGAACCGCTGGGACCGCTGCTCTCTGCCAATCAACACTCTCGAGACGGCGCTGCAGCTGAGGCAACTGGACACCGTCTCGTTCTACCTCCGCAGCAGAGGGCCCCAGTCTTCAGGTCTGCCATTGACAAACACACACACACCTACCACACACCACCTCCCCAATATTCAGGTCTGCCATTGACAAACACACACACACCTACCACACACCACCTCCGCAGCAGAAGGCCCCAATATTCAGGTCTGCCATTGACAAACACACACACACCTACCACACACCACCTCCGCAGCAGAAGGCCCCAATATTCAGGTCTGCCATTGACAAACACACACACACCTACCACACACCACCTCCCCAATATTCAGGTCTGCCATTGACAAACACACACACACCTACCACACACCACCTCCCCAATATTCAGGTCTGCCATTGACAAACACACACACACACCTACCACACACCAGCTACCACTTACATACTTGCATTTCTCACTGGGCGTGACTGCTCTGATGTAAGCTGCGTTTACATCCTAGAATGAGAACCATAATTGGGAAAGTGGAGTGAACGCACCATGCAGTCAGTCGTTTATTCGGTTGAATTTTAACCCACCATACGTCATGTGTTGGAATTACGCTATGAAGTACTGTGCGGGAATGTTCCCTAAATACTCTCCCTCTCACCCTCCCCACCTCCCCAGACTCACAGGACTCACCAGGTCTCTCTGCAAACCCAACCGAGGTGCCCTCCCTCCCTCCCATCCCTCTCAAACAGGTTGACACTGCCATCCACATGCTCCTAGAGGCCATTCGCAGGAACCACAGTGGAAGCCACACCTCCCCGTTTGCCAGCTGCCTGCTCATCATGACCCTCGCCTTCTTAACTCGGCTGATTAAGGGGCAGACTCTTTACGAGGAGAAAATGGGGGAGAGAGGAGAGGAAGAGGGGGAAGGGGAGGTGGAAGGAAATGGCGGAGAAAAGAGCCCTCTCTTGACAGATAATGGTGCGGTTTTCATTTTGAGAATGTGTACTGTAGCATTAATATGGGGCAATGTACTGTTTTAGTCTCAGTCACAAGTGAATCTTCACAGCTGAGCATGTGTTTGTGTTTATTCTGGATTTCTAGTACGTCTGTTGGTGAGCGAATGCGAGTGCAAGTTTTGTACGAAATAGTTAACATAAAACAGCATTTAAGCCATGCTACATATCGGCAATTAAGTAACCTCGTTTCTCTTGACAATACATACACAGCATTTTACTGTCTCTCTATCTTCTCTCTGTTGTGGCTAGGTGGTGGTGATGGCAGAGGTCGCTATCGGACAGTGAGTGGGGCATCAGTGGACTCAGCTCCCCCTGCCCCACCGTCATCCCGGCCCTCTCTCTCCCTCACCTCCCTCACTGGCTATGTCCAGCAGCTCAGGGCCTATCTACCCAATGCCCCTACCACTGGAATTCAGGTGAGTCCACTGATATTAATTGGCAGGTGAAGCGAGCCCACCTAGTCCTCCGAATGCAGGGTTTTCCACATAATAATGTATATATCCTTCTGTAGCGTTCAACGGACTCCACAGTACCTTAATGTTTACGTAATTCTAAATATGCGTGAAAACGCACAAAATATCGAAATGTGCATTTCGCTCTAGTACGTACGTAGCTATATGTCAGGGATTCCAGAGAAATATCGTCAGCCACTATAGCAATGTGCTTCACCTCTATGTAGTAGGCAAGAAGTGGCTACTTCATGAGCAGAGCAGAGGCATATGCCTCACGCAGTGTGTAAGGCTCTGAGTATGCTGACGTTGATTGTGAAGTCTCACCCGCGACAAAGAACATACCATACAATACCGCGCACGTACACACCTCATGCCCCCGCCATCATCGCGCGCATGCGTGTGTCACTGTTGCTCTTGGATTATGTGCACGCTCTCTCATTGATCCTCTCTCTCCTCATCCATGTCCTCTGAGTATGCATGCTGACATTGATCGTGAAGTCTCACCTCCGCCATCCGCGACGAAGAACGTACCGCGCACCGTGTAGAATTCTGAGGCGCACAAGTACTCATACAGAGTATCGTCTCATTTAGTTAATGACCCCCAATGAGGAAACGAGACGGTTGCGACAATTAAGTGCAAACGGTATTTTTCGAATTTAGCCAAAAGTAATAGACCTGCCTGAAATGTACCCTCGGACCAGGTAAGAAGGTTAGGTGTAAGTAGGTGCAAACATGCGTGAATAAAAAATATATATACTATTATCTTTGCAAGCACTGAAACACACATTGCTACATACTAACTGCAGCATGAAAAAAAATGAAAAAAGCAGGTATGGCATTAAATTTCGACGCCAAGCCTCAAACACCTCTGCTATGGCACAGTATACTCTCACTCACTATGATGGAGCAGACTGGGGTAATTACACCAACAAACATGCCACACTCCAAACTAAGTACAGTATGTACCATGCATGCGAGGTTAAAGAAGAGCAAAGGCGAACGAAATAACCTGGTAACAAACCATGCAAGTACTCTACCCTTTGCTATGCATGTGAGTTAGATGAAACTAATGAGGGACGTACAGATAAAGTACAGCACTATGACTGAGTACAGTACTACCTAGTAGTACTTAGTATAAGGATGACACATTCAAATCTGTTTTTAGTTAAATCACACTTGAACAAAATGTATGGCTATAGTAATCAGAAGCGTTAAAATAGCAACAACGTTCTGTCCCATCTAATTGTTCTACTAATCATCCAGTGAGGCGGATAAAGCTACTGCACGTATATTTCCAGTATTTCAAAGTTTGATGTCTTCATCGTTTTGATCCTCGTCAGTACACAACCTTATCTCAATGTCATCACTAGTTGGGGGAGAGATCTCTTTCCTGAACCATGGCGGAGAGTTCCAGTCACAGCAGGTGTTGTACTGGCCACATCCAGCACCATCCCAGAGAGGATCATCTCCGTAGAAGATGTGCTGGTATAATTCTCACTGCCAGTGTCACAGAAGTAGTCATCTCGAACGAAGTCTGGTACTGGAGGAGGTGGGCTGTTGCGTATGTCAGTGCAGGGACATATATTATGCGGGATAGGGTTATCTTCATTAACTGCTGCAGCAAATGTCCAAATGTGCCTGCGAGGGGATCGCCCATGTGTCACGCTGATCCCATCAACGTAGTTGTCATTAGCCCATGAAAAGCATCTGGGGTCCGATTTTGGTACCCAATGATTTTCCCGCACACTTGAGAGTATTCTACTCCATGTAATGCGAACACAACTGAGGAACATCCTGGACCATTAATGTTCTTAGCACACAGTCGACGAGGACTGGTGATTGTCCTCAGACCAGGTGGGCAGGTGTTTCTTCTCGTGTCTGTCATGTCAATAGAGGCCACCCTCATCCAGCCTCCAGTTACTCCTTTGCAGCTCCTCTCCATGTCGCAGTACATGTTTTCAGGCGTATTGTCTGTTCCACCGATCCAGTAGTAACGTGAGGGAGAGTTAGGGGCAAGCTGGAGAATCTCCTTGCAGGAGCCGCCAGGGTGACTGGGCGTGTAGCCAGGAATAGACATTTGGTAAATGTGTGGTAGCAGATAATCGTCGAAGGTTTTCTTGATCTCCTCTCGGAGTTGACACCCAGTAATTGTTACTGATGGATCACTCTCCTGACAGTCACAGGCTACTGTGTAGCAATGTCCAGCAGCAGCACAGAGACCACCGTCAAGATGGTCATGATTGTAACTTTAGCAAAACAGTCGCAGCAACTTGGCAAAATACCGTGAAGAACTTTTCCTTTACTACGTATGAACTTAGCCAAAGAGCATACTACGTCATCAGAACTGACTGTAGTACTTTGTTTGCCTGCATATTATATACATATGTCATAGAGCAGTATATTTATGATCGTGATCGACCTATGGCTGGGTATGTTTTAACCAAACATAAGTGAACATAATAGAATCGGGTTATACATTGTGATGAGATAGAGTTCTGTCCTTAGGTAGGCTCTTAACACAAACTTTGCATGTACCCCAACAGGCATTGTTGCACTGCTGCAACTGGACAGCCCTTGTATAATGCCATGGATACTACAGTACGAATTGAAGCTAGTGCTGTGCGCACAGTGATGGCATGAGGACATGGTTGAGAAAGTCATACAGTACTACCCGCCACAATAATGAAAAGCACTGAAGTGCAAACCCTCGGCGCACTGTTCATGTGCATTAGCGCTAATCGATGGGCTCGGCTATCACTCTGCGTTTACTCGTGGTCTCCACGCAAGTAGCTCGCGGAGAGTCTGACACGAGCTAGCTACACTATATGATAACATGTGTTAGTCGATACACGCCCTTTTAGCCGTACAATGCTGGAAGTGCTCTAACTTTGCAACGGAGTATTTTCAGAGAAAACCGCTCGAAAAATTTCTGACCTTTATTGCCCGTTAAGTAGGTCATATCGTTTGTGAGACGAGCAAACATTCGAGAAGTGAGATGTTGAGTAACAGACACACAAACAGACAGACCCAACTACAGTACCCTCGCTGCACATGCGCGCCGAGGGTAATAACTTTTGCTACACAATATTTCTCTTGTTCAGGAAATAGGGTGATGGGGCATATTGTGGTGGTGTATGTGGAAGGGTTGGCATGAGAGGAAAGATGTCAGTCCAAGTCTGCTGCTAGGAGCCAGTTTACGTAGCTGGCAACGCAGCCTTATTCTGTTAGTGAAGCTCTAAGCTCTCTCTTGGGAGAGCTGTCACCCATAGGCATGACATGAACCTACATATATACTTGGTTAAGGCCTTTTGAATCGTGGTGTCAGTGGAAATCTAAACTGCATTTGAGGAGGTGTCATCTACTAATGTACAGACATGACCGGAAAAACCACATACTTTCGTAGTATAGGCCTTCTAAATCATGGTAAAAAGACTTAGCCCTCTGTTAGTGGATATCTGAACACTCAATTTGAGGAGGTGTCATCTACTAATGTACAGGTGTGACTTTACCCCTTTATATCCATGTAGAGTTGAAATAATCAAATCTGATTGGTCAACTAGGAGAAAGCCAGTCCACATAGTTTCCTCTGCAGGATGAGAAGGAACACTGAGTAAACGAGGGATACTATCGAAAAACGCTATTGGATAGTGTTCACCCTCAGGGCCTTTGGAACATTATTACATTTTGTCAAGTTTTGCGCGTACCGCACTCTAAAACAGTTAGACGAATCTGAAAAGTTGTCATGCACATGTTATGAACCATTAGATCAAGATCTACACTGGTGGCCTAACAGTCACCAAACTCTCTGCTGTCAAATATAAAGGTGTGACTTGGAAGACAGTCACAATTGACGCAGTATGTCTTAAGACTTTTTCAGTTGATGTCCTGCGGAATAGAATCGATATCTGCATTGGCAAGCTGGTGTCTTCCCCAAAATCACACAAAATAATACAAATAGCTATATATAGTAAGCTAAAATTCTAGCAGCATTGAAATTGTGACAATGTTTCTGTCCCATCAAGTGTTCTACTAATCATCCAGTGAGGCAGATGGCAGATAAAGCTACTGCACGTATATTTCCAGTATTTCAAAGTTGATGTCTTCATTGTTTCGATTCTGGTCAGTACACAGCCGTAACTCAATGTCATCACTAGTTGGGGGAGAGATCTCTTTCCTGAACCATGGTGGAGAGTTCCAGTCACAGCAGGTGCTGTACTGGCCACATCCAGCACCATCCCAGAGAGGATCATCTCCGTAAAAGATGTACTGGTAATAGTTCTCACTACCAGTGTCACAGAAGTAGTCATTTCCAACGAAGTCTGGTACCAGAGGAGGTGGACTGTTGCGTGTGTTAGTGCAGGGACATACATTTTGCGGGTTAGAGTTATCCTCATGAACTGCTGCAGCAAATGTCCAAATATGCCTGCGAGGGGATTGCCCATGTGTTATGCTTATCCCATCAACGTAGTTGTCATCTTGTGTATTTAGCCCATGAAAAGCGTCTGGGGTGCGATTTTGGTACCCAATGATTTTCCCGCACACTTGAGAGTATTCTACTCCATGTAATGCGAACACAACCGAGGAACATCCTGGACCATGAATGTTCTTAGCACACAGTCTGCGAGGACTGGTGATTGTCTTCAGACCAGGTGGGCAGGTGTTTCTTCTCGTGTCTGTCATGTCAATAGAGGCCACCCTCATCCAGCCTCCAGTTACTCCTTTGCAGCTCCTCTCCATGTCGCAGTACATGTTTACAGGCGTATTATCTTTTCCACTGATCCAGTAGATACCTGAGGGAGAGTTAGGGGCCAGCTGGAGAATCTCCTTGCAGGAGCCGCCAGGGTGACTGGGTGTGTAGCCAGGAATAGACATTTGGTAAATGTGTGGTAGCAGATAATTGTCAAAAGTTCTCTTGATCTCCTCTCGGAGTTGACACCCAGTAATTGTTAATGATGGATCACTCTCCTGACAGTCACAGGCTACTGTGTAGCAATGTCCCAGCAGCAGCACAGAGACCACAGTCAAGATGGTCATGATTGAAACTTTAAGCAAAACAGTCGCAGCAACTTGGACAAACTGTGAAGAAATTTTCCTTTACTATGTATGAACTTAGCCAAAGAGCATACTACGTCATCAGAACTTACTGTGGTACTTTGTTGGCCTCCACATTATATACATATGCCATAGAGCAGTTATTTACTTATCATCGTGATCGACCCATGACTGGGTATGTTGTAGCCAAACATAAGTGAACATATGTAATAGAATCAGGCACTGTCATTAGGTGGAGTTCTGTCCTCTTAAGATGAACTTTCCATTTACCATTAATTGCTACAATAATTGTAGCATAATGACATCTATACTCCTACAGTAGAGAGCGAGCATTTTACAGTCTAACTTAATGCAACTGGGCAGCTCTTTGTATTTAATGCCATAACGAATTTTATTAAGCTGCTGTGCACACAGTGATGGTATGATGGTTGAGTAAGTTTTGCAGTATTACCTGCCACAATAATACACATATGGACAGTATTCCTCTGGGTTAATAGAGATTTCGTGATTCTGCTTGGGTTAGATGTATGGATGCAGCACATTAGTGGTGAGTATTACATGGGTGCAAAATTTTATGGTCACGACATCTACATTAGAATAGCTTGCTTCAGTCACCACTTTCTATCATGAAGCAATAAAGCTAGCTCGTGAAAAGTTACTGGTAGCTTTGTGTCACATTTAGTTGCAGAGCATAGTGGAGAGGGAGGGAGTCAGCCACGGTGTGTTGGAGATATAGACAACCACTGAACTGACTCTGAAGTAGAGGGTATCATTCTTCAGGTGGCACTTGTGAGTGACCTCATCCAAGGCCAGTTTGGAGTGTGGCACAAAGAGCTGGAGCCCCCTCCCTCTCTCTCCCTCTCACTCTGTCGTTCACCTCACTGCTACTGGTACTGCGAGGGAGAGAGAAAAAGCTAGGCATGTGGATACATCACATTGCACCGCCACGCCGTGCCGCGTCGCGCTGCGAAGATAGAAATGGATTCTAACCTTGTGATGCGGAAACATGGGACGGCGGCGCGATGGGGCACTGCGACATACTGTGAACCTAGCCTAAGACTTCTTGCACAGGAGGCAAACATTTATTGAATTGCCGGGAACCTATATTTTACCACACAAAGAGATTTTCCCCTATTTGTCCAAGGTGCATGTGTGCTTGAGAAGTAATTTTTGGCAAATAAAATGTGTTTCGCCTTCTTGGCACAAAGTAAACCCGCTATTTATTATGCGGGAGGCATAATTGTACCGAGTAGTGGATTTACTTGGTGAAGTGGATGGTCTCTTGTTTGTGTCCTCCGTCCTGCAGCTGGTTAAGCAACTGGACGGTCACTTCTCCTCTAAACGGCCACGGGAGAGCGTCATCATTGATGCCTTGCATCAGACACACATAGAGAGAGCTGTGTCCCGCTACCCACACCGTCTCCTCTTGCACTCACACTCAGACACATGCGGTAACCTCCGGGGTGGCTGTAGAACGGTCCCGAGACCCAGCCGTGGTTCAGTTTGAGTCTTCGGTCGAATTCGTACATCCTGAACACAATGGGGGGGACCTGAACCCGGCTCTCCAACCACTCCACGTGTTGCATGGCCAGTTGGAGGTGGCGGTGGACGTGCGATTCCTCGTGTTGGTCCACCTCCCCTCGGACCAGACTCACGCCGCAGCCGAGCCAGTGGTAGGAGCAGTGTGTCTGCTGCAGGGGGCAGAAGAGGAGGTGGCAGTCCAGCTGGCCCAGGTCGCCAATCCAGACGCATCCCTTCCCAGAGTTGTCACACTTGACGGGGAGGGTGGAGACTCTGTGGGCAGTGACAATGTCGTTGACTGGGCTCAACGGCTTGTGGCACACTTGGCAGTATCCGATGAGGTTGGCAGAGCACCCACTGCAGTAGATGCCCCTGCAATCACACTGCGTCTTGCAGGGGTTCCTAGCGACCATGTCGCACGACTTGCATATCACTTCAGGTGGAGGGGGGAGCACAAAGTTTTTGTCGTGGCCTCCAACTGCCATCTCAACTGAGAGCAGAGACTCCTTCCTTCTTACTGACATCCCTGGCCACTCTCAAGCTAGTACGGCACAGCTTTTCAGTTGAGGTCCTGCACTAATGTCTCTAACTATACACATAGCACAAAAACTTGGGTACTTGTGGATATTGAACTGTCACAGTTCATGGACAAATAAGGCTATGGGGCATATTGTGGTGGTTTGTTTGGAAGTGTTGGCAGGAGAGGGAAGGTGCCATTCCAAGTCTGCTGCTAGGGAGCCAGTTTACGTAGCTGGCAACGCAGCCTTATTCTGTTAGTGGAGCTCTAAGCTCTCTCCTGGGAGAGCTGTCATCAATCATACCTCCACATTCTCTTACTAGAGATCTAAATTTTCCATTTGAGGATGTGTCATTTACGAATGTGCAGGTGTGACCTTAAACCTTTAGATCCACGTAGTGTGGGCCTTTGCCTCCTTCTTTAGTGGAGCTCTCACTGAAAAGCTGTCATACAGGTGTTATGACCATTTAATCCAATACTCGTGGCAAGCAGTCACTAAACTCTCCGCTGCCAAATGTGCAGGCGTGATTTGAGAGACATTCATGGTCCATGCCGTGTATGGCTAATTGTAGAACGCTCACACCTTCGTTGGAAAGCCGGTGTCTTCCCTCTGCAGGGGCCAGTTCCAGGGGAAGAGGAGGTGAAAGAAGACGGTGAAGTGTCTCAGTCTTCCCTGGTGTCTCCTCCAGGGAGTCCAGTGCTGGACAGGAAACTCACCAGTCACTGGAACCAGATGGACACCAAGGTAAGGGAAAACACGATCGAAGTATGCATTGTGTATGTGGGCTGCTCAGTTACAGTATGTACGTATGTCACCTACATATTTGCTTTAGAGTAAGTAAAAAAATCGGGAATATTTGCAGAAAAGTTCTAAGCAAGTAACAAGTGATAGTCTTCTTTGGCGGATGGATTCTGATTATAAAAAAAAGTTGTGGAAATTTTTAATGTAAGCACATAAGCGCTGGCATGAATAGCTTTTTTCACCGGGTTACTTCAATCTGCGCATCTCGTTCCCGGTCCCATGCCTTGTAGACTGAAAGAATGATCCACACACATGCACACAGGAGGTGGTGAAAGATGCTCTTCTGCGAGGGTGTCTGCCACTGGCACAGGTCTACCTACTCCACCACAGCTCATCATCCAATAACAAGGTACATGTATAACTGAAGTCACTCCACACTGTAACTGTACCAAAAGATAAGGGGAGACAGACAGGCAGGCATATGAACTTGCAAATGATGTCTATTATTGCGGTGCCTCATTCTGTATTTGATTTTCATCTGTTGTTTTTTCACCCCAGCCCTCACTGTCGGTTAGAGAGAGTGCCACCCTCCCTGCCATGCTGGCCATAGGCAGTGGGTTTGTGCTGGAGGCTCTTGAGAATAGGTCTCTCCAGCTGGCTACTTCACTTCTCACTCAGATGGTACGCTGACTCTCCACTATCTCTGGTGTGTTTATGGTTCTCTTTGCTCTGCAGTGTATGGATGTACCGACTTCTCTGAGGCAAGTCTGCTTCCACACCATCAACAGACCACTTCGAGACTTTCTGGTTAGCTCCCTAGTGTAGTAAGAAAGAGCTATACAGCTTTGTGCAATGTGACGAGTTGGGTCACACGACATAATGTATGTGATATATGTGTGGTGTTGTGGCAGGCTGGAGAGCTGAAAGAGAGAGACTGGCTGAGTGAGAAGGAGAGCCAGGCGCTTGACTATCTCCACCTCCTGGAGTCCTACCATCCTCTACAGTCCTATGAAGAGGCCCAGACCATACAGTCACAACACAAGACTAGGTATCAAATGGGGAAGTATAGGGGGAAGCGGAAAAGTTAATTAAGATTGAAGTAGAGAGAGTCTGAGAGAAAGAAGGAGAGCTGGTTTGTGAGAGCTTATTTGTGAGAGCTTATTGTGTTGTTCTTTCTCCCAGACCAATGGCCTACCAGTCCACTAGTCTTCCATTTGTCCCTGGCATACTGACCAAGACCACCTCCCTGCCTCCCGTGGGGGATCTACATCAGCTCTACCCCGAGACCTTTGGTGGAGTAAGTACATCTCCCCAGACTTGAGTTACTTGTGTGCACCCCAACACCGTCTTCAACATACGGACAAAATCGCAGTGGAACTGACAAAAATAAAGGACGGGCTAGAACCATGATACCTTTGATCGACATTGAAATTGTAAATATTTGCAAGTCTTCTTTATAGGAGTTTCCCTGACTCCCCACTGTATATACACATGTATATAGTGAATGTGAAGCTTTCACAATTTGTACTAGGGTCTTCACTTCCTCTATCTCTCATCCTCCCTCCAGACTCACACCCTCACCCATACTGACACCTCTTCCTCATCTCTCCTCTCCCCCACCACCACCACCACCTCCTCCTCGCCCACAAGTCCCCCAGCACTCTACTTGCAAGTCCCGCTGTGTGTGGTGCTAAACTGGGACACGCCCACCAGACAACAGCTCCTCTACGAAGTCTTTGTTCTGAGGAACCAAACACATGGTTAGAACCTTACGTCCGTGAATATGATTGTGTTGCATCCATACATGCACATCTAATGCATACTGTATACGTAGTGTACTCATGGAGTCACGTTTCATAGGTACGGAGTGTGAGCAGCTTGTGGGCAAGGAACAAGTTTTTGACTATGTCGTGCGACACAATGACTCGGAGAGTGCCCTCAGGTTTGTAATGAGCAGGGTCCCACCCCTCGGAAGCCCCTCCCCCTACCCGACCGAGATTGTCTCCCTGTGCTCAAATCTGCCGCAGTGTGCCGGTCACCTGAGGGACAGCATTCTGGATGAGCTTGCAAGGTACATATAGTGTGTTTCACTGTACTATGAAGGTTTACATTGTATGTATGCAGAAGGTACGGTATTAGAAACACAACGCGTGCGCACGCGCGCACACACACACACACACACACTCATGCATGCACCCACCTGCCACACACACACACACCTTGTTCTTCCCACCAATACTGCCTACTCACTGGCTGACTCAGGAAGAGTGCCCTTGTGCATGTATATATACAACACAGCAGTTCAGAGCACTGCATTACTTCATCAAGCAAGGCCTACTCAGCAAAAGTAGGTTAGCTTAAGGCTCATCAAGGTCTTCTGCAGTGGGTGATTGCTACTCTAGGTACATAGTTTACAACTTTATGTAGTTGTAGTTACCGAATGCGCTGACTGGGCAGTGCCTCAATTAATGCGGATTTCTCGTATTTTTACATGGCTAATAGCGAAAAAGAAAATTAGTTGCCTCTATTTACGTGCAGCTAGCATTACAATTGAATTGAAAAAGCATGATCATGGCATAAACAAACTTCATGTGCATCGTATTAAAAATCTCTAAAAGTAAGGGAGACCCTATGTTTATGGTCCTGACGACCTTCAAAACATCATGTCTGATGAGGGTATGTGCAGCGTGGCATTGCTGGCCACCTTCTGTCCCACCAGCTCCACATACGACTCCACAATCATCGCCTGTCGTCCATCCCCACACTCTGCCCTATAGTCTGTGTATGACATCACCGCCATTTTATGGAGGATCTTCAACCCTCCCACCACTTCCTCCGTGACTTCGTCGCGCTCGTTAACGAGGGGGGCATCGTCGTCTAGACGGCAGTACTCTTTCTCCTTTAGTCGTGGGATGCACTGCTGGAGAGGGGCGTAGCTGTGCGTATGCGAACACAGCAACTCGCTGCTCGCGTATCGTCTCTTGTAGTTCATCTTTGGGCAGCTCTGCACGTAGAACCCCATGTAGTAGTACTGCATCTCTGGGCTGACGGTAAAGAATCTCTGAGAGAGCGAGATTTCGTTCAGAGCGCTGTAAACCCCGGGCGCCACAAACCGGTACGCAGGGTCGTAGAAGAGGTACTCGCAGAGGACCCCCCTTGGGATGATATCAAGAACCCCCACCGCAAATATCTTCCCGTCGATCAAGTACTGGAGGTGAAACGAGCCATAATTGCAGGGGGCTCCCTCCGGCCCTTTCTCCTTGACGAGAGGAGAATCGACGAGGAACTCGTTAAAGTGGGACTCCTGGCAATCTTCCTCGTTGTCGCGGTGGACTTCCAACTGGAACTTCCTGAAGACCCGGTAGCTCTCTTCGTAGGTACTGGCAAACTGTGGGTCTCCTCGTGAGCAGGAAACTAGTCGAGTCGTGAGGCTGTGCCGATGGCTGGGTTCGTGTGGCAGGATCAACTTTTCTCCGACCCACTCAGCCACAGAGGGAGAGGTGGAGGACGCGCTGGGTTGCCCGGTTGTTTCTCTGTTGGCTAAGTTTTCCTCTAGAGCCACAATCTTCTGGCCTTTCTGTACAGCTTTCTTTGCCTGTCGCTCCCTGCGGAGGAGTTTGGCCTTCTTGCAGGGTGGCTTGCTGGGGTCTGCTCCAAGCCCAGGACGGACTGCTCTCTTCTTTGACGGCTCTCCCAAGTTGTTTTCAGTCACATCTTCCACCGTCTTGGCTTCTTTACCGGCCGAATCACCGGGACCCGCCTCTTCTGCGTCTTCGGGAGTGGCATTTGCCTCTCCCAGGGTGAGAAATCTGTTCATTTTCCTGATAGTGGCCTTCTGTTGCTTCGACAGGCGAAACTTCGTCACGTCAGTGCGGAACACGTACTGCGGGCAGCACGTCTCTCGCATGAAAGGTCTGTATACGAACTTTCCCGAGCGCTGGAAGCCTCTGTCCACTAGTTCTTGAAAGTCACCACAAGTCATGCGGTGTGCCAGTACTCCCTGTATTTTGCTGGTGTCCGGGGACTTGCAGTAGCCGCATTTGAACGGCGAAGGCCCGTTTGGTTCGTAGAGATAGTCTACTAGCGTCCCGTCCATGGGTGATCGCGCTTCAGAGTAGCGATATGAGGAGGCGGATTTCTTTTCCCTGGGCGATTCTTTTTAGTGCCCACAATACGCGCTTAATTCCGGGCGCGTAGAACGCGCAATTAAATTAAAGCGCTTATAACCTACACAATGCAGGCAAGGAGTGCTGATACCATCTGAGCTACAGAGCCTGCCCGTGCTCCTGGCCAGACTTGGACGCACACATTCCCTCTTTTCCCACCCTCACCCCCTCTCCAAGCACCAAGACCACACACCCTTATCTGCTGAAGCCCCACCCACTCCTTCCGGCAGCAGCGAGGGAGAGATTACGACAGCGGGGGCTCTGTTGAGCCTCGAAGATTTCCATTCCTCTTTTATCCATTATTGCATCACCAATGGTTTTACCAGCCTACTCTACCACTACCTCGACTGGTACAGGTGAGCACTTTAACAATTCTGTGGAGAAATACTGATCTTTGGTTTATCATGTCATGTGTGTCATATGCTATGCTAGGCCTATATTTAATGGAGAAGTAAACTGAGTTCAGGTTATGCCACATGAAAGTGCATATAATTATATAACAGTGTAACCCATATGATCTTCGCCTTATTAATTTATAAGACCCTACTATTTCGCTACAAATTATGTGTGTTAAAACCAATTAAAGTTTTTGATCTTCCCTCTCCCCTCTCTGTCATGTGTGTGATCAGTCTGGCCCTGGATGAGGGCTCCATGTCATCTCTGGGTCTGACGGAGAAGGCAGAGGAGCAGCCCTGGGTGGACACACTGCTCAAGTTCCGTCTCCTAGCTCTCAATTCAACTGGTGTGTGTGTGTGTGTGTACCTAGTAATACACATTACTGCATTTGCTCCCAGAGCCTGGTGCAGTGTTCCAGGCCAGTCTGGCATGTGGGCGTCTCCTGCTGAGGGTTCAAAGGGGCGTTGTCATGGAGATGCTCCAGTTCAACAAAACTCTCATGGCCCTGGCCACACTCATGTATGCTCCAGTTCCCATTGAGGAGGTATGCATTGTCTTTATTACAAAAACCTGAGCCATCAATAGCATGTATACGTAGTTGAGTCTCTTATTCACTTATCCAAAGTACATACACCTCTACAAAGGCTCTTCCATTCAACTGTAATGTTAACTACTAGAATGCAATTTTGGTGATCCAAACGCGAGAGCTAGAGGCCCTTGCACTGCAACAAAAATTGCGATATTTCAGTTACGTGCAGACATGTATTTAGAATCACGTTAAGGACGGCAACATACAGGAAGTTGCCAGTTGCTGACAAGGGTAGGCTTGCTTCACCCGCCAATAATTAACCTAAAAATTTTGAACTGTCGATCCAAGACCTCCTGGAAAGTGTATTCTCACTCTCACTCTGTTATATAAAACATATCGTAGGCTCTCAGTGTGTCCAGCAGCGACCAGCCATGGCACGTGGAGCCCTCGTCTCTGAAGTCTGCAGTTGCAGCACTACCCAACCCTCCAGGCTGCCCTCTTTCCTCCACCACCCACCTCCCTAACTGCCGCCCAATCTCAGGACATCTCACTCTACAAACTTCTTCAGGTCTCCTCCATGCAACATATATACACCCATAGCTGGAACATATCACTAAACGTATGAAAATTTTCTACAGCCATTATTTACACAAGCGAAGATTTTCTGGTATGATTTTTCATGCATAGTATTGCAATTGCGTTGAGTGTGATATTGTCGGTCGGTATAATTACAGGGGACAGTTCCGTTTGATGTGTCACGGCTGTTCAAGTGGCAGCCCACCAATACCCTGGCCACCATGGAGGACACTGCCGATGGTGAGATAACTAACAGTGCGATACACTTTATGCTATAAAGTGCTTTGCACCTCCCGTGCTCCGTATTTCCTTCAAACCTCAAACGAACACACATATAACTTCTCTACTGTCATACGTTGTCCCCAGGTCCTCCGGTCATCCCCCACTTCTCCCAGCCACGGTTAGCTGACAGACATGCCAGGGTGGAGCACCTCACATATCTCCACTACCTGTCCCGAGGCCAGCCCTCCTTTGCCTTTGCCAACTTTATGGCCGCCAAGCTACTGGGTCGCTCCAATACCACCAAGAGGTTAGAGGGAGGGGGAAGTGTGGTGTGCAGCTGTTTTGTCTGTGGGTGTAGTGGTATAGTGGTAGTGAGCGGCAGGCAATACAGAAAGGCACGTTCACTTAGTTAGACAACTGAAGGAAACTGTATACACATGGTCGTCTGTCTACTCTTCATCCACCTTTTTCATATACTGTAACTACACATAACATACCTAGAGAGAACAGTGTCATTTTGTGTCCAGGGTAGCTCTTTTATCAGTGTCATGGTTGGTCCGTTTTTTGGACCTCATGACCTACTCACATCAAATGGTCACGCTCTCTTCATGTCCACTGCACATGTCCATGCGAACCTGATCTACCCATCTTGCATGTTAGGATTGACCGGGCAGTGTGCCGGGTGTACAGACTTGCCATGCAAGACTTCACCAACCACCGACTGGTGTCCTCGTGTGCCGCATTCCTAGAGATGGTGGACCGGGAGTCCCGTCTCCTGAGAGTCGACATCCAGGCTGCAGTCCGGATAGCTCGCTACTCGTCCCTCTCTCCTCCCGAGGCTGAGAAACTATGTATGTGTACTTAGTTTACCACATGATGTAACAAGTATTGTGTCTCATATAACACTAGTATGTGCTGAGCATATGTAGTATGCTTGTTAATTATCCACTAACGAGGGTCACTTTTGATTTACAGATCATCGGAGTAGAGCACTAGAAGAGACACAGCAAAGTAATGCAAAAATCGGTTAGTGAGATTGCATCTTCTGTCTATCTAGAAGATGCATTGTTACTCTCCTTCTCCGCAGCCTCTCAGTTCATCCAGATGTATGGGAGTACAGAGGGACAGGGTGTGGCCTCAGGTCTCCTGCAACAACTGGAGACTGCCACACACAACCTCATCTCCTCCTCCTCCATCGACAGGTATTTATTTACCTGTGCAAGTCTTACTGCATGTTCATTGCAATCCACCATGCCAGTTTTTTAGGTTATGTGTTAAACCCTTGTGCAAAAGGGGTGTGTAGAACGAGGAAAAGCGCCGAGTCTGTGCATTTTCGCGCAGTTTTGCCATTTCTGGCCTTTCCCGGGGAGTGCCTTTTCATGCTTATAATGCAATATAGTGAAGATATGTTCTCCATTTTTACGCAAAACCGCAGAAGAGCAGATATTGCACAAATGCCTACACACTGCAATTATTCCAATAATGAATGCCAGTTTCTGGGCAGCCCCTAGATTATTCCAGTATTGGGTGCCAGCCTAGGAAAAGCCTAGGATCTAAACCGCAACTGAGTAGGATAAAGTGTCAGCTGGAATTCTCCTTAAGTCTGGGATATTAATGCTTTGCTGGTGACACTGTATCAGGTGTTGTCTCGAGGCAGAAGAGCAGTGGTCCCTGGTGCAGGCATTCTGCAGCTGCCACTCCCTCCCTCCCTCCGCTGCCTACCTCACCGTCTGTGCCGAGGATGGCCAGTGGCTACCACTCCTCTGCCACGCCCAGCTTCATCAGGTTCCCCCACAGAAGGTATATACACACCTTAGCGTATAGAGACAGAAAGTAAACTTTGTTCTTGGTTGTGTTGCGTTTTAGTGGTACCTCACTACTGTACTTGTAATTGGCGAGCAAAGCAAGCACTCCTAGTTGTCTGAATGCGGCTAAACTGTGTATATAATGTACAGGCACTGCCACATACCGTAATGTTTTACGTGATTATAATATACGCGAAACACTCAAAAATAAAACTTCCTCTTCGTCACCAAAAATGTGTTGCATTCCTCCTGTACACTGACAGGTTCTCCCCATAATTGAGAAGAGTTTCTCAAATCCTCACATCCAAGAGCATCTTCGTCTGGCACTCTCCTCCATGGACCCCACGGGACCCACCACTCTCGCTTCTTCACAGGTCCTCCACCTCTCTTAGTGTATCACCCACAAAAATTGTATAGCACCGTACTGTAGCTACCATAGGACATCTTTTTTAACTGCGCATCTTCATTGTAATGTTAGGAATCACAGCCATATTAACCCTTCACGGTCTCAAATACCCCGCTGTACTGTACTAGTATTCTCACTCACACTGTCTCTCATCAGAGAGGAGGTAAAGGGTTCCCAGAGAGACCAAAGACCAGGAGAAGACGGGCCAACACTAGGGCTCGTCTCACACAGGGACTCCAGCAGCAGACTCTGCTCCGAACGAAACCTGACATCAGAGCCAAACTTTACTCAAAGGTACTTACTAAGACACTGACTGTTGGTCTTGAGTCATGCATACGTGCTCACAAACTGTCAGATTTCGCTGATCCATCTTCCAGCACTGGCTCCGCAGGAACATGGTTCTGCGGCGAGAGTTTGCACTTTAGTTTTTTCAGCATGGTGTTAAGCAGACCACTTCATTCTCCCAATCCGTGCAGATTGGTCTCCAGAGAGAGAGATCTCCACAACCTGACTCTGCCAAGCAGGACAAGACCCCGACTGAACAACCATTAACCTCTACACGTACCATAGCTGGTATAGAGCCCTTCCATCAGCATACACACCAACTCTGACCTTGTCTCACCTTCTATCATCTCCTTCACTCTCTTCCCCCACCCATGATATTTTTAACCCATGATATTTTTAACCACTCTCCATAGGCGATCCGGGTGAGGGTGAAAGTCCACCTGCCCTCTCTCCTGACAACCTCCCTGATGACCTGTTTGCCATTCTCTTCAAGTGCCAGTCCCACAGCTGTCCCTGGAGGGCTCTTCTTGCCCACGCTGTGGCCCTACAGAGACCTCTGCTTGCCATTCTCGCTGCCTGCAATCAGGTCTGCTGTATGGGACCAGTCTCAGTGTATTGTCGCATACTGATAGAAGATAGATTTCAAAAGTGGTCTCTTTCTGTGAATTATAAGAGGTTGTAGTTATATCTACAAACATTATGTACATCGTAGGATAATATTCCAATAATATTTTGTCCTTTCCTTGAGGATAATTCTGTATTTTGGCTGTATTTGCTTTTCTGATTGTCAGGAGGCAGTGATGGTGGACTGCTTGTGTGTCTGGCTCTACTGCACTCTTGGCGTTGAGCAGCTCAGCAAGGCTACTGTCCTCCTTGGGTGTAAGCTAGAGCTACGAGATAATTATTGTTGCCAGCACATTGAAGCATGTCGGTCAATACTGACTACAAGAAATCGCACAATTTGGGTAGCTTTTCTTCCATTCTTCCATACACACTTAACTCCATCTGTAACTCCCCTAATTCTTGATCTCAGTGATGGGTGAACACAAGGAGAAGGAGGGTAAGGCCTACCTGAGTCCCAGAGTCCAGTGGCACCACTGGAGTCCCCAGGACCTGGCCCTCATGCTGGCTGTCTCTCTCCAGCTCCCTGTCTCCCACACTGCCCCTCACTTCACTCTCGCCTTCCTCTACTTTGACCAGGTATATACCACATGTGTTATGTATCACATGACTGTCTTAGTGTGTTGTTTACCTACAGCTTTACCTTGCAACCTCTTCATTCATCTTTCATGTGCATGAAGTATATTACATGCACATGTGCTTTTTGTTGCTCAGAACAATCCTCTGCTGAGTTTCTTCAAGTTCCATGAGCAGTTTCACTCTCTACTGCAGCCTGGACCGCTGCAAGAACCATCTCCTAGAGTTTGACCTCGCCATGTCCAAAGTACGTATTGCTCTTTACTGGCTTCTGTCCTTTGGGTAATTATTTGGGATAAGTTCACTTTGTGATTGGCAACAGAAGTTAAGACTCCCAAGCATTTTAGAGCTCTCTTGGTTGCGATGGCACATGCAGTAAATGTAAGTTTCTTTATGTATTTCATTGATAGCTATAACCCTAGAGAATGATACTCAGGGTTGGTAGGTAGCGAAATTATTATTTTACACACAACATCTGGAGGGCTGAGTAGCTGGCTCTTTTATACAAAGGGTGAGGAGGAGAGACAGGTGGAATAATTGGGGGTGGATGGGAGGTGTGGTTGTAGTAAAGAAAGAGGAAGATGCTATTAACAACTGTGGGCATGGCATATGGTGGCCCTTTGAGTGAGGTACAATAGTGGGAGGTAGAGATGAGTGATGGAAAGGAGCTAAAAGGGGTGAGGAATTACAACACACGAGTGAGCCAGCTACTCTATCTAGTGAATATTGGTGAAGGGCTGTGTTCAATTAGTACCTATACAGCTAGTGGTTCAACTGTGTTCCCACGCAGTCCTTCACATTCTACCAAGTCCAAAGATTTCTCCCCTACAATTGTCAAGCGAAACAAGCCTACCTAGTCTCAATTGCGCCCACTTTCCTGAATACGCCTTATGTAATTCTAAATCTGCTGAAATTTCACCCTTGCATTCTTTTTTATACTACACATGTTGCTACACCTGCTTCTATTTTGTTGTCTGCAGTGTTCGTCGGCAGTAGGAGGTTACCTGGGACTGATAGGAGATGTGTGTTGGGTGGAGCGACTGGCGAATATGGTCACGTCGCACATGCTGGCCATCTGCCCCACCCCCTTTGAGAGAGAACATCTTCTGAGACTGCTCCATGACGGGACGTTTGGTCAGGGCTTCCAGTCCTCTGGTCAGTATAGCTAATACCTCTCTCGCTTTTACTAATGACTGTGTGTGTATGAGCCTATACCTTGTATACTTATGCCAAAATGTAAACTGATGATAGTATTCTTTGAGGGAAAATGTATATATTTATAAGTTTCCATTACATGCACATAGTATGGGGTCCACATTCGCAGTCATGATGAGACGGAAAATGCTCGTGAATATTTTTTTAATGTGGTAAGGTCCTACCTCCTTAAAGAGAATATTGCAGGGTCTATCATCTGTCAATTGCTGCATACACATATCTACACTCTAGTACGTATCGTGAAACTAAATAATATGTCACAGGATTAGACTTCAAGAACCTTTACCAGATGACAGAGGTACTGAGTCAGGCTGGACTGCCTACCGATGCAGCATTCACCATCAGAGAACACTTCAACTTCACACCTGGTGCCAAGTCCATAGCTGAGGTACGTATGTACGTACGATGTGAAGGATGAGGGCTGTTATAACCCTCGCGCAGTGAGGGTTCGATTGTAGCACTACAAGTTATGAGGTTGTCAATGAGCGGTACTAACGGTTTCAGTACATGATATTAAACAGGTGATTTTTCTGAAACAACTGCGTCCAAGAGTCATAGTGTAAAACACAAGTGAAAAAAGCCATTATCCTAATGAGCAAGGCGTACCAGCAACTACGTTTGACTATCTGTGACTAACAGTTTTGGTAAAACTGAAAGTTTTAGGTGTCAATGAGGAAAGAGAGTTGTGATAGGAAAATTATGCCGAAACCGATGCAAGAATGCCCACGCTTAATTATATTGCTGCAACGTGTAATAATGGTGTGTCTAAAATTTTACTATAAATAGTGCCTGGCACAATGCCTTGGCAAATCATGGTTGAGGAAGCATTCCACCTCCATCGTATACTAGGAATGCGCACGCGCATATTTTGCCTCGCGCCTGCCAGCCAATGCGTAAACAATCCGACTGAGGCCGCTCGTGCGCACGCTCTACTGACTGCGCGCGCGCGAAGCCAGACTTCCTACGAATCTGCGTGCACGGCGGAAGCTAGACTTCCTACGAATGACGGAAGTTACACTTCCTTTTGGTGACTAATTGACATTCCTAAGCGTGACTAATTGACGACACTTATGTACGTACGCATATCGCGAGAATACAACCCGGAATAGTTGCCTCGCGCTAATGCGCTCGGCAATTATATCCGCTAAGGCTGCTCCGGTAGAAGATCACATCCTAACACTAGCCAGCAACTACTCTTGACTATCCATGACTTCAGTTTTGGTAAAACTGAAAGTTTTAGGTGTCAATGAGGAAAGGAAGTTGCCATAGGAAGATAAGCCGGAATCCAATGCAAGAATGCCCACGCTTAATTAATTTGCTGCAATGTGTAATAATGGTGTGTCTACTATAAATAGTGCCTGGCACAATGCCTTGGTAAAATTATGGTTGAGGAAGCATTCCACCTCCATCGTATGTTATATTATATCAGCTAAGTCTGCTCCAGTAAAAGGAGATCATCTCCTAACACTAGCCAGCAACTACGTTTGACTATCCGTGACTACAGTTTTGGTAAAACTGAAAGTTTTAGGTGTCAATGAGGAAAGAAAGTTGTGATAGTAAGATTAAGGCCCGGCACCCAATGCAAGAATGCCCATGCTTAATTATTTTGCTGCAACTGTGGTAATGGTGTGTCTAAAATCTTACTATAAACAGTGCCTGGCACAATGCCTTGGTAAATCATAGTTGAGGAAGCATTCCACCTCCACATCCCATACAGTGCTCAACTGTACAATCATTACTGAGTGCTGAGTGCATTAGCATTAGGCTACTAATTCTGCATTGTAGCTGTAGCTGTCACACTTCACACAAAGTATGCATCACAAGGTGTTGCCATTACACTTAGGAATGTTTCTGCACAGCATGACAAGGAGATCGAGCCGAAGTATGTTTGAGACGACAGGCCCAGTTATATGGTCAATGTAGAGTCAAATCGAAAACAGCTAGAGGGAATCCCCTCACACTATGCATGTAAATCGTACTGCACAGTGTCCCAAATGTACGTACAGACTTAACTACTCCAGTAGTCCACACCTCATGTTCCCACATTTCACAAAAATCTCTGCATGTAAATTTTAATTATAAGAGCTCTACTTCTGTTCAATGCCCATACACAGAAATTTATTTCTATCGTCTCTAAATTTACCCACAAACAAGGTTAGTTTTGTGAGTAAGATCGTCATTGCACCACCTCATAAGTAACTTCTTCCCTTGGGCTGGTTATCTTGGTCAGAGCATATGCCTCATTAGGAGAGACAGGAATATCAGTTGTCTTGGTGGTGGGGTTAGTGGCATCTGCATAGGTCTCAGTCTTGTTCCTAGACCTCTTCATTCTGAAGATGAGTAGACATTGAGTGAGGATGACTGTGGTGAGAGTGAGGATCAGCAGGAGAGATACTGCTGACACAGCAATCACAGCTGAGCTACTGGACTCCTCACTGCATGTACAGTCATTCACTCTGTCTCCAGGAACTGATGTAGCTAGGCACAATTTCAGGTACAATAATAATGTGAACAGATGCCATGTAAAGTGAGTGGTTATATACATATAGCTACATAGCTTGACAGGTCCTCATTGTTTGTTGGACATTGATTATGCATTGGAGACGAGTAATGAGCTACAGTAATGGTCATTATCTGCATCTAGTATCTGCATTAAAGACAAAAATCGCAAACTGTGTAAGCTGATCATTATCGTTTTAACAAGGATGCTTAGATTTAAATCATGGGCCGAAAATATGTAGCACTCCTTTAGCAAATGCATGGTTCAGCTAGTCAATAACCCTGCCTTAACAAGTATGACCTATATAAAACTCACGAAATGAAGATAGCTTGTGAATTTGTAATGAAAAGCACTAAAGTGCAAAACACTCGGCGGCGTGGAATAGCTCAAGTATCAGAAGTATGCAGTATAGCTTTATGCAGTCTGTCACGTTCATGCCTGTGCAACACTGCTCAATTGTTTCAAATGCTCTTGTGGTTTCTTTACGCAGTCTATCACTTCTTAGCCGGGCTGAAATTTGGTTGTATGTTTCAGCTGCCCCTGTGCTCTGTTTATGTAGTCTGTCTTGCTCTGTTCTCGCGAATTTCTCTTCGTCACTCTCTAAAGGTCTTCAACGTTTCATCGCCTCCTTTTTGGCAATACACTGCGCTTTCCTTTTTGACGGAAAGGTATGCCCACGTACGCAAACCGCCCGTCTAGCATGTACTGTTGTGTTGTAAACCACACGCATGCGTTTATTTCTCGCTTCCTAGAGGTATATAAGCGAATACTAATTAGCTTATTGGCTTTTTAACTTGGTTTTCACACCATAACTGTCGAACGCACTGCTTTTACGAAAATCGCCAAATCAAACCGGTATAGCGCTGAACCTTTTGGTATCGCTCTTTTGTTGTCTTCGTTGTGCGTGGATGCAGAAAACGTGGTAACAGACAGACAGAAAAACTTAAAGACCAAGTACAGTAACCCTCGCTGCGCATGCACACCGAGGGTTAATATCTACAGCTGGAGACTCACATGGTGGTGGAGTTAGTGGAGTCACTGTTGTAGAACCGGAGGTGGTAAAGTCAGAGATATATATATAGCAGAAGACTTACTGGATGTCACACTGGTTTGAATAGAGGAGGGGCTAGCAGTAGTTTCCATTCCATAACCTGTGTAAGATAATTTTTAGACAATTCTCACTATACGTATGTGCATACGACATAATAGCTGTTGGTTATGCTTAGGAATTTCATGCTCAGTGATTCCAGGGTTAGGAGTGTGTAGAGCTAAAATCATCTGTTGTGTAATAGCGAGGGCAAGTATATACATTGTATAAAAAATACCATGAGTGTTTGCATGCAAACTGCAAACCTACACCCAAGAGAACTCACATTGAGAAAGGCTAAAAGGTAGGTGAAAGCTGTGCAGGGGACAGAATGGTGTATTTGTACATGGACTACATGTGTGCATTCCTAGTAAACTGTAAACATACTTGAGAAAATCGGAGGTATTCCAGAGCTATTCAGGAACCTGACCTCTCCAACATAAACCCACTCTATGGAGGCGTCTGGTAGGTCCACTAGAATATAGACTGTGCGATAGGAGTCCACTTTAGGAATGAGCTCCAGAAATGGTAACAGTTGAAAGAGAGTCACAAGATGACTGGAGGGAGTCGGTACCATGCCAATACAGATGGGGTACCAGCTATTAAACATGTTTTCAGTGGTAGCTGCTAGTGTGACTCTGGATTGAGATACACTGATGATAGATGGAGACACCAATGTTCCAGTCAGGACGTTGAACAAGTCCATCTCAATTCCAGTCAGAGACACAGCAATGTGTCAAAGCCAAATGTCAGCAGGAACATGAGGGAAAGGAATATCAGGAGTGTCCATCACTCACTCCTCACTGTCACTAGCTGAGATGCCCAGTCAGAGGTACTTGTGTCAATATCAGGAGGAGACACCATCAACACAGATAGCTTTAGTGACCCACACACCAACACACCACCACTGTCTACTAGTGGACTAGTACATCCCATGTCACACATGAGATCCATTGACTGACTCTATTCCTTGAGGGTACTACCGGGACTGGTGACCCCACAGCAGCAGCTACACATGGGATACAAAACAAGCATAGTTCATAAGAAATTTCCCTAAGGTGAAGTACCACAAAGACTCAAACTGAGTAGCAACAAACCAGACACCACTCTTCATCTTCACTTTGAGACTGATCCAGTAAAGACTGCCTCTGTTGACACACCAGAATCTATAGGAAGCAACATGTTTACGGTTTTATAAGGAAGCATGTGGGAACGATAGTAGAGGTGGGGTTTCACCCCTACAACATATAGCTACACCGTTACCAAAAAGAATGGTGTAGCCATGGAAATACAATGAATTTTGCTGATGTGGGCATTGCAATGTCAACGAGGCTATTCCAACTGTAGTTTATAATTCTCTTGGGGAATCAGAGTTGTCTTGGTGGCAGGTTAGTGCCTCTGCAGAGGTCTCAGTCCCACACACGCATGTTGCAATACTACTCACGTGGACTTGTGGACTTGTTTCTAGTTCTGTGCTTTCAACACACGAAGGCTATTGTATGCGTTCGACATGACATGTGGGCTCAATAACAGCAATAGTGTCTCCTTATGTCAGCATTTTCATACACATCAGTGCATGTGCAAACAAGCTAACACTTTTGTGGGTGATTGTTTATGCTAGTGGAAGTGCATTGAATACAGAGACCAGCAGTATCTGTGAACTACATTATTCTGTAACGAAGCACAAACTTAGCCACTGAGTAAGCTATACTTTCATGCTTGAATCTTTACTCTTCTGTCATTTCACCACCTCATAGGTAACTTCTTCCCTTGGGCTGGTTATCTTGGTCAGAGCATATGCCTCATTAGGAGAGACAGGAACATCAGTTGTCTTGGTGGTAGGGTTAGTGGCCTCTGCATAGGTCTCAGTCTTGTTCCTAGACCTCCTCATTCTGAAGATGAGTAGACATTGAGTGAGGATGACTGTGGTGAGAGTGAGGATCAGCAGGAGAGATACTGCTGACACAGCAATCACAGCTGAGCCACTGGACTCCTCACTGCATGTACAGTCATTCTCTCTGTCTCCAGGAGCTGAGGTAGGCACAATTTCAGCTACAAAATAACGGAACAGATGTAGATTGAACTCACTAAATGACTTAGATCGAGCTCGCTTATCTCTCACACGTCGCCCTAGATGTTGCCCTGATTGAGCCAGCTCCTTCTGGCTCTCGGTCTTCTGTCTCGAAAAACTTCTAGACCTCCTCTTCTGAGTGAGTAGACAGTAGCGTGAGGATGACTGTGGTGAGAGTGCGGATCGCAGGAGAGATACTGCTGACACAGCAGTCACAGCTGAGCCACTGGACTCCTCACTACATGTACAGTCATTCGCTCTGTCTCCAGTAAGTGGGGTAGGCGCCAGTTGAACTACAATGAGATGAAGGGTAATCGGTTAGTGCTTGCAGCTATAGTGAATACAGAATGTGCCAAATTTTATGTGTGACCTTCAGTGTCTCTGATGACAGTAGAATTAATAGTTGGATGAAGAGTAGCCACGCCACGTGTATCTGAGTGCAGGATACTTGTAAAGTAAAGGTAGAGAGTGTATAATACTTACCTGAAAATATAATGGGGCTTCCAGAGCCATCCAAGAACTTCACTTCTCCAACATAGAACCACTCAACAGAGGCTAACACTACAATATGGACTGTTTGGTAGTTTTTATCAGATGTCAGAACATTCCCATAAATGGTAACTTCTGATAGAGAGTCACAAGATGAGTTGGGTGGCTCTGTCACAGTAAGGTAATTTGTATGATCGAAAACCAAGTTGTACTCTTCAACTAGATACACTACGATGCTGTATGAAGAACCAATGTTCCAGTCAGGACAGTTGAACAAGTCTATCTCAATTCCAGTTAGAGACACAGCTGTGTCAAAGCCAAATGTCAGCAGAACATAAGGGAAAGTGATACCAGGAGTTCCCTCACTCCTCCTCACTGTCACTAGCTGAGATGCCCAGTCAGAGGTACTTGTGTCAATATCAGGAGAGACACCATCAATCAGATAACTGATGGCACCATTCCCTGGACTACCACATGTTGTATTTCTTTCAGTAACTGATAGTGGTAGACTAGTACATCCCATTGTGCCATTAGATCCATTGACTGACTCTATACTCTGATGTATACTACCTGGACTGGTGGACCCACAGCAGCAGCTACACATGCGATATAAACATAGCTTGTAGAAAGAATACTTTCCTTAAGGTTAAACGTACCACAAAGATTCAAACTGAGTAGCAACAAGCTAGATACACTCTTCATCTTCACTTTGAGACTGATCCAGTAAAAGACTGCCTCCTGTTGACACTAGACTTCTACTATATATGAACCACTTGTTTATGTTTCAGGTGAACTGAAAACTATAGCAGGAGTGAGGTTCCACCTCCACAACCCACACAATAACCAAAAGCATTATATAGCCATGGAAACACAATGACTTTTGCAGTGTAAACATTGAAATATGAGGTGATTTCTCTCTTGGAAAATCAGAGTAGTGCAGTTGTGGTGTATTATTCACTCCCTGTCTCTTATTCCTCTCCCTGCTGCAGGTGTACTCCGTGAGAGTGAGGGTTGACAGTGACCGAGTGTTGAGCATGCTACTGGAGAAAGCTCAGTTCGACGTGGCCAGGAGCTATGCCACCATTGTAGGCTCCACTGCCAACGAGGTCACTGTTAAAGAGGTAAGCCGAGTTCAGAGTGATTTTCTACACTCTTTTGAGAATGTGAAATGTATCTCTTGGCTAACAAAAATAGTGTAGACATTTTAAATTCCTCGTGGGAATACACACTTTCATTTTTGCCTTGCGTCGGCCAACAACTATGCAGGAATACTCTCCCTCGATGCTATCATGTACATACCTTTTATACCGCTGTTTTCCCTAACTTCGCTCAAGCTTGCATACACACTGTCTGTGCGCACATGCACGAGTGCGCCTAAAGGTGTACATGGTATATGTGCCTCAAGCATGACTATTTCAAATTTGAAGCATGACCAATATGAATGTACTTATGAACCTGGAAATAATGCTGAGTTTTGAAGTGAGTATCTCCCAAACTGTATTGTTGTTTAGGCTGAGCACAATCTGCGGAAGCTGTCAGAGTCCAGCTACTGGCAGTATGAACAGGCACGTCTCAACTTCTGGCACTCCTGCAACACCTCCTTCAACAAGGAGAAGGTTGACCCTGAACTGGCCGCTGAATTCTTTGAGGTCTTTGGATACATACTGAACTACTCACACTTTATCTGATACATATGACGTTTACACTTTCTTGACTAGGGCGACTTACGTTTAAACACCTCTTTCTCTCTATATTGTTGTTGTCCAGTCTGTGGTGCACCACTCCAGTGATGTCACCAAACCCACCCCATCCTCTCCTACCTCCTCCCCTTCCTCTTCCTCCTCTTCCTCCTCCTCCTCCCACTCCTTCCCTCCACTCACCTGCTCGGCCACTGAGAGAGCTCTCCTCCTGGCCTTTGCTCTCAAGTGGCGACGAGAGACCGACACCATGACTGCCGACCAGCTCAAGGAGTTTGAGCGAGAGATCTGGCGCTCCCACATACGGGCCTCGGTTGAAGACATGCAGAGAGCTGTGAGTACCATAAAACCAGTGAAGGAAGTTGTGCCAGCATTTACACACATACTTGCACTCACACAACTGTGAGAGAGTAGGTATAGTGTGTCCTCTAAAAGTGTGGTTTGATAGGGTTACATACACTGATGTATGTACATACTGCACTACGTACTCAGACTTTATCTGGTACATACATACAAAACATGCAACTTTAGTACCTGTTAAAGTTGGTAAGTTACTCATATATGTACACCCTATTGAGGAGATGCAGAGGCTATGAGTACAGAACTTATCAAAGAGAAAAACTTTATGGTCTGCATGGTTTGGTGTTCCATAGACCAAAAACTAGCTGTTAAAGTTGTTAGGTAATACTCATTGTTTTTCCAGCCAGGGGACAGGTCAGGGGGGTCTCCGCTGCCATTCCTACCATCCTACTCCCCGGAGGACATTCTTCATCAGAGGAGCCCTCCTCTCTCTTGTCTGCCCTGTCCATCACGGTGTCCCCCTCCTACTGTGGTCAGAGGAACCTGGCTGAACTGGCTCTCCCTGACAATGTCCCGGTCCTCACTGAGGCCAGTCAGCACAGAGATACTGCCAGCTCCCTCACTGACCCACAGGTCTGCCAATTTGCCGTACTTGTTACTTTTAGCCTATTCACATCATTGTGTATGTGTGTACCTTGACATTACTGTTAGGTATCTACATGGCAGGTGTATGTGTGATCTTCCCATTTTCAGTTAGTTTGATGGAGTGTCTACTAGTTTGTGTGGTGGACGAAAACGTACACAGTTGTAAGCTGTGCTTTTTGTGTTACTGTAGGAAGTGACGGCATTCAACATGATGTTGGGGAGACTGCTGAATGCTGGCTTCATCTCTCAGGCCAGGGAATTGGCCGCTCTATTTGAACATGACTCCCCTGATCTCACCATTGTCCTGGTAGGTATATAGGTATTAGGTATATAGGTGACTCTCGTGTGCGTATTATAACTGAACCCATTTTACTAGTCTAGCTTGCAGACCCTATCTCTCCAGTCCGCGTACACGCAAACGTGCATGTGCGCATGTCCACGGCCCCAATGTGCGCAGTTGCCGGGCGCGCGTCTATGCATGCGCAGACCGGAGAGAGGGTCTGCAGGCTAGACTACCTTTTACTGAATGGGCAACAATATTTACAATGCACATACGTAGGTTGTTAGGACTGTCCCTCCCCTATGTGCAAAACGGTGGTAGTCTCAATCTGACATCTCCTTCTCCCCCTGGCAGTGTTGCATCCAGCTGGCCCAGGGGAAGCTGTCTACGGAGCAGCTGACAGACCAGGTCCTCAGTCTCGTCTCCACCCACTCTCCTCGCCACCTCAGCGAGCTCTCCCTGGGTGTGGAGCAGCGGGGGGACTCCCGGCCGTCAGCCGAGATTGTCCGGATGATGCAGCGACTCTCAGATCGAGCCAAACATGCCCAGCACTGCTGCAGCTGCATCACCACCTGCTTCAAAGTCGCAGTGGTCAGTAATACTTTTACATAATCATATCTGTCCTTTTTGTTGCTTGCATCACACCTTAATATGCCAGCTTCCCTGGAAGAAAATGCTCTGCCTTCAAATCGTATAGATAAATTGTGCTGGGTATAGTTGCCTTGTCTTTTGACCCGGTTGATCATGCTTCCCCCTTCACAAATTCTTCATATATTTCATCCATTATTTCCTCTAATGTTTTGTTTCTTCCGTTGCCGCAGTGCCTTCACATGTCCTACACATCAGTGGTCACCTCTGATCCCATTCAAAGATCCTCTCTCAAGTCCTCAGTTGTAGGTTCACAGACCGCTACCAGCTGGCCAAGAAGTTTGTCAGTGACTCCAACCTCAAGTCTAAAGAGGTGGTGTTTTTGTGTAAAAATACACTCTGTGTGTCTGTCCGTGTGTTTTACTACCCTCGGCGCGCATGCTTATCAAATTAATGTAATGTACATACCAATGCTGTCACATGACTGTGCATGCACAACATAGTAAAAAACACAGTACCTGCAGTTTTCTCACACTCAGTCACCGTTTGTCCCGGCAGAAATATCAACGCCAGTTTAATGTGACCTTTTGCGAGGGCTTTAAACAACACCTATTATTTTTCTCCCGCAGGTGGCTGGGTTCCTGTCTGAATGTGTGGCAAGTGCACTACAGTCACAGAGTGGAATGTCCAGTGAGAAAACAAACCTCTCACCTTCTCTTTCATATCATGCTTTCCGATTGTTACACAATGCTCAAATTAGTCTTACAGGCCATACATATTTTCTGTGCATGCATTGAGCTGCATGCGCATAAAGGGTATCCTTCCCCATCCTTGATGTGCAAGTGCCTCAACGCATGCGCGGAAAGTACGTATGTATGGCCCGCTAGACTATGCTCATACATATCTCATTCATCCGTTTTCCGTGTGTGTGTGTGTATCTAACACAGTGAGAGAGAGGGAGGGTCCCCACAGCAGAGTCTACTATCCCCAGATGACTAGTGCTCAGTTTGCAGAACTGGCCCAGCTCTGTCCGGACCACAACGAGGTGGGAAGTCATCTGCTCTCAATGGCCAAGTCCCTCTCCACGACTCAACAGCAGACTACACAGAGTGAGACTCTAAAAATAACTGTGTACACCCATTTTTAGGTACATACATTACCACCTTCATGGCTTGATTCCTGCAATATCAAGGAAGAATAAAAAAAAATGTTTTTTCGGATATTTTACAGCTTGTGTTAATGCCTTACATTGCCTCTCTCCATCTCTCACACTATATACGTAGATATAACAGTGCAGGTGGAGCTGTTGGTAAGAGCTCACGACTGCTACACTCTGGGGTGCAGTGTGGACGGTATCTCTGAGGTCCTCCTAGTGGTCCGACAGTGGGTCCCCAACCTCATCTTACTCAAACTCTTCTCACTAGTGGTCAGTGTTCCTCTCTGAACAATGAACCTCTTGTAATGATGCGCAATAGTGACGCAGGCCATTGCATCTGCATCATGTATGGCTGTGATGCATGATGCAGCTTTATGCTTTATAATGCAACATACAGTTGTATCATGACGCAAGCTACTGTAGTTGAAAAATAAACATTTTTGTCACTCGCATAATCACACAACTAACGCAAGAGCTTATGTCAATATTATGACATTTTACTAGATGTGTGTGTGAATTTTATGATCATTTTATTGACTTACTGCACTTAAATGTTCAATGTTAGAACCTAAATGTGCATGTGCGTGTGTGTCCAGGTTCGTCTGCTGACAGGAATAGGGAGGTTCTATGAGATGGACTACATCCTCCAGCTACTGATGGAGAACGACCAGTTTGAATCACTCCTCCACACCGGCCTGGAGAAAGTATGGCTACCCACTTAGATAGACCCTTTTGCTCAAATATTGCACCACTTATGGTTAGAGACCTCTTCTGCTCTAACAAAGGGTTATGTTGTATAGATTGGTAGCATGTTGGTGGTTGTTGTGTGCAATCAGAAACACTTTTTTCCAATTATTCATTACATTGTTGTTTATAGTGTACACATAATACAGCATGGAGAATTGGGTCAAGAAACTCAATAGAGCATGAGGCAAATAAATCTCTGTACACATACGTACATAAAGATTATCTTAGTGTGCAATGTGTGCATGTGTGTGTGTGGTACAGGAGGAGCAGTTGCGAGTGGCACTGATGGACTACCTCCAGACTCACCATCTCAACGACCACGAGAAGATGCAGATGGTGGCTCTCAAGTTTGGGATGTTCTATGAACTGGCCAACACCAAGCAGGAACAGGCCAAAAGAGACCTCAGGAGAATCAAACCAAAACATCTCGGTATGTAGCTAACCAACTGGAAATACCGACAATTAGCAGTGTGCTCTTATAAACGGGGAATACCTTTTATTGACTCTCCTAGCACATAATGCGGTACTCGTTTTTTTACGTAAGGTCATAGTACATAATGCCTGCAGTGCCAAGAAGATTTAGTGTTGTAATACCGAAGCTCCCAAGCATGACAGACTATTGCAACATAGCTGCTTTTGTTTTTGTTTGCAGCGTCAAGTAACCCAGAGACAGTCAAGACACTGAAGGCCGTGTTTGAGTCTCTGCGAACAGCAGCCAAGACCTATTCACAGGTATCTATAGTGGCATTATTGACTCTCAGTCCAGGCGAGGAAGCTCGGGAGCAGCGACCAAAGCTCGCAGAAATTGTCACGCTTCTGAAGGCGAGGAAGCTCGGTAGCATCGACTAAAGCTTGTAGAAATTGTCGCGCTTCTGAAGGCGAGGAAGCTTGGGAGCAGCAACTGAAGCTTGCAGAAATCGTTGTGCGTCTGGTCAGGAGCAGCGACTGAAGATCGTGGGAGGAAGCATCTTTATTTTTGTTGAGGAGCCAGAAACATGCCTTTCTCAGCACAAGCTCAAGACTGGGCAAGGCGTGCAACGCAAACATCTAAGGTAAGAGAGGCCAGCAGCAGAGGACTGCTGTACGACAAGCACGAGAAATAGAGATGTCTTAGAACAGGAGAGGCTGTTGCTTATTGAATGCGGTCACTTCAGTGCTGACATGCGCACGTAACTCTAATGCCCACCTTGGTTCGCTTCCGCTTGCTGAGATGCATGTTGTGACACTTCAATGTAAAGATGCAGTCATTTGCACGTAGCTATGCTGGTGCAGAAGTATCAATGAGTTGTTTCCTTGTGTGCAGGAGGACTATCTGTCTAGTGCCCAGCAGTGCTACTCTCTGGCAAGACTGGTGGCTCTCCAACTCTCCCTCCTCCATGGCTCTGGAAACAAACAGGTCATCAACCTCGACCACAAGAAAGTCGTCAAACTGATGGAGGAACTGCCTTTCCAGGAGGTATATAATTAGCTATAAACTTTTAGCATTGAATGTGGAGTTTTGTTAAGTTAGCCTGCAAACCCTTTCTCTCCGGCCATCATATGCGTGAGCGCGCTCAGTGAGGCCGCTAGCCAAATCTGAATTTTTATGGGCGTAACCTAGGCGGACCGTGCGAGACCCTCCTTCCACACGTAACCCTACCACGTGTGTCCACATGAGAGAAAGAGTCTGTGTATGTAGTCATATGCTTGAACAAGGGAAGGCCTTGCCTTACCTTCATAGACACACACTGCGTGAGTAGAAATCGACCATGAGCAATGCAGCCATTGTCTCTGCCACTGTAGCAAAGCCTTGTTAATGTAAACCTCAATGTTCAGGCTCTGATAGTGGCTGATGCGTACAAGCGGACCAGCTGGACAGACTGGGTCGGCCCTCTCTACAAGAAGGTTGTGATTGGCGGCCACTTTCACTATCTCAGTGACTACAAAACTGCCTTCCCTCTGAAGGCAAACATGTTCCAAGAACTAGCTAGCAGGTCAGTACGTACGAACATTATTTGCATATTAGTGTCTGTGTGGAGGAAAGTTTGTTCTACCATAAAATTGGCCTTTTCACAGCATCTTCTTGTATACAGTAGCAAAACTAGACAATACCAACCGCATTGATTTGAAAATCAACCGACTTCTGTATCTGGTTCCATGCCTCCGTATTGTCACACTATAGGCTACAAAGCGGCCTATGAGCGATACTAAAGCTACGATGGTGTGAAGAACAATAAAGAGGATTCTCCTGAACATGGCGTGGCGCGGCCCATTAAATAGCAGTGCTTTATGCGCATGTCAATGTGCGTGTGCGTTCCTTGCACCGAGGGTTTACACTGTGCTTTTCATATAACTTGTGCTATGTTCTGGACCACAGGTATCAACATGACCGGGAGAGACCGCCCGAGTCTGCAGCCAACATGAGGCGACTCCTGGGCCACCTGCGTAACCTCCCACTCAAGAGGAAGATAGCCACTGACCTGGGATTGAGCGATGTCCTCCAGAGCCTCTCGCCCACCCAGGATGAGGGATTCCTCAATGACATTGCCAGACTCTGATCTTTTAGTCTTGCATCAGACTGGGTACACAGGTGTGTGTGTGTGTGTGTTTGAGAATTTAACTTTTTGGCTTCAAAGTAGTGTTTGAGCAGGCGCAATAAATGGGCAACAACCGCTGGTAGTAATACTTAGAGGTAAGGGGGAAGACCTTGGAGTTGTAGTTCTGTGTGCAGTGCACTGGACCTCCAGCCAAATGCCAGACTTTGACTCCTGACGGGAGTTGGTTTTTTTTCTTTTTTTCCTGGCCTCATCTACCGGGTGAACTAAGTGTATACACATAATAGTTAGAGGAATTGCCGCTGGTAGTAATACTTAGAGGTAAGGGGGAAGACCTTGGAGTTGTAGTTCTGTGTGCAGTGCACTGGACCTCCAGCCAAATGCCAGACTTTGACTCCTGACGGGAGTTGTTTTTTTTCTTTTTTTCCTGGCCTCATCTACCAGGTGAACTAAGTGTATACACATAATAGTTAGAGGAATTGTTGGTGAGCGAGCGCGAGCAGTTCGCACGTTTCTTGCGCGTATTTAGATCATACAACTTGGGTGTCGTATTCCCCCATTGCAACAAACAAATTAAAATGGAGCACTACATACATGTGTGTGTGTGTGGCTACACCCATTTCTCTACTATTACGGGTAGCATGTTACGCTCAACATTATGCACTAGGTGTGAGGTGTGTCAGTTTACTCTGGTGAGGTGTCCTACAGTGTGGAATCGGACATAGTCACTTTGCCAAGCTTGCCGTATGATTCATTGTCCTTCATCATTAGTACACTGCCGCCCCACACCGCCCGACCGCTACTTATAAACAAACAAACAAATTATAGAAAATTCCTCATTGAAATGACTAGGTAGGATCGCTTAACTTGCCAATTATTATGCTAATTTACCGACTTTTAAGTGTTGTGAGTTTATGTAATCCAGGACTTATTGTTTTTATGGTGGCTCATTACTATTGTAGAGCTCTGAGTCCTCTGATGCAACCTGATGTTATGAAACGGCTATCTGGCTCTATTCTTTCCCCTGGCCATTAAACACTAACTCACTCACTCACTATAAAAAGTCAATGAAAAAGTTATGCACACAAAAGCGATAAATCCGTTTGAACTCCCACAATCCATGTCGCACAGTAAGTAAGTCATTTTACATTTCCCCTTGCTGCATATTAATACCCAAGCAAGGAGGGAGTACTCACGATCAATTTTGCATCTAGTGTTTACCTACTTCAGTTCAGTATCACTATCACCCACCACTTCTCTATATGCGGCTACGGCACTTCATATTAAACAGTATTTCGCCAAGTGTACTGGAGCTGTTGGAATAATTATCATTACAGAAATCTTTTAAAGCAGTTATAGTACTAAACCCATTTTATGAAGCACGAGTTGTCATCTAACATAGTTATTGTGCATTCCAATACTCTGTTGAAATACTAACATGTCTAAACAATTATAATAGTCCAAACACACGATGTTTATACTTGACAAGTAACAGGTCACGAGTTTTCATTATGAGTCAAAGTGCAGTGTTGGTGGTAAGGATGGATTCCGGGCGCTGATCTTACTGTAAGACTCATTTCTTTTCAGAGGTATTGTAGTATAGAGTGGCTGAACACTATCCACGTCCTCATAGAGCTGTTCCTGGTTCCCGGGATCCTCTCCACCACTCTTTGTTCCCCTCCCTCTCAGTGTGTACATCCAGTGGGCAGCTAACAGTAGGTTGATAGTCACTGAGACGAGGAGCAATACAGCCAGTCCCACCACTACACCAGTCAGAGACTCTGTGGGAGGGGGATTGTGGGACAAAAAGTTGGGTATTGTGTACTATGGAATAGTAGTGGTGGCGTCCATAATAATACAGCATACCATTACGGTCTGATCCCTTTTTAGAGTCACCTTCCTCTACCACACTCTCATCTTTTTCCAGGTCACCTGCATTATTATAACCAATAGAGGGTAGCTACCTTTAACTTTCTTACAGGATTTAGCACTCTTCCTGCACGTCAGGATGGTGCACAGTAAATTACCCCTCTACTATACTTAGGAATGTATGTCTCAAGAAAGCTGCAGAATGGTTGTTTGCACGTAGTAGAAATTCAACATTCGTCCAGTATGATGCGTGCCAGGATATCTTGGGTCATACGCAGTGCTGAGCCACTACGGTATTGTGCCATTTTGCAGAAGGTATAAAGCAAAGTATACCTTGCAAACACTTACCACCTTACCTTTACATGCTAAGCTGGTAATGTCTTGCTGTTCAACTTACCAAGATCAACACGAAAGGTGTCAGATTCTCCATCCACGGAACATGTGTACTCTCCATTGTCTGTCTCAGATGCACAGTAGATAGTGAGTTGAGACACAGTGACCTTGTCGGTGGAGGACACACTGCCACCACTCAGGGGACCAGTGTCACTGAGAGTAGTGATGAATCTGCCAGTCTCCAGGTTTCTCCCAGGAGAGCTCCACTTGGGAGGTGGGGAGTCTCGAGGATAGCCATACACCTCACATGTCAGAACAATCACCTCGATTCCTTCTCCCACCACCAGTCCTGAGGACTTTACCTCCACTATCACTGCAGGAGGGACAAAAGAAAAACAAAACAGTGAAAGCTACATTTACTAGCATGAGATTCTCCATATTACTATTGTGCATAACAGTGAGAGGTGTAGACCCTAATCTATAGCCGTATAGAATTTCAGCAGAGGGTCCCCTATTCAATGGTTATAAAACAAAACCACTTGTTTTGGTATCTGCTGTAACTTCAGTGGATCAAACTTCCAATACTAGTAACAACTATGGCAATACAGTATACCAACACATACACTGGAGGTTTAAGGTGTATGTTTCCAGTGACTGGTGTGGTTCCACTGCAAATCCACTCCATCAGGACATGCTCCGTACTCCACAGTACACATGTAGTCTCCTGCATCAGAATATCTGAGACCAGATATGACTAGACTACGGACTGAGTGTTGGGGAGTGTGTGATAGAGAATCGAGTGTCAGTGTTGCTCAGTAGTGTCCCATTCCTCACCACTGCCACTGGTATTGGTAGTCACCAGTAGGAGGACTGGCCACAGAGCAAGTGAGACTGACAGAGTCAGGCTGGCCCAGGTCAGGGCTCTCTGTGGCTCCGGTGGGTGGGGGAGAGGAAAGAGTGAGGGAGGGAGGGGTGGAAGAGGGGGGAGGGGAGGAGGTGAGTGCGGGGTCAGTGGTAGGAGAGCCACAAGAGATGGAAGATGGAGGATCTCCTGCACACAGTTGTATCTCACTGATGAACAGCCAGTCAGTGCCTTGGTCGAAATTGAATGTGATGATCAGATCATCAGGATTCTGTGGTAGAGTGAAAATATTCCTGGTCAGTGTATTGGTAGAGGAAGAGAAAGAACAGCTCTGTGGGACGAAAATATCCTCAACAATTGGATGGGTATCAGTAGCAATTCTAGTAGTCTCAGGTGGTCCTATTTTTGCAGAGGGAAGACTCAAGAAGTAGACTTCAATGTAGGACACAGTAGAGATATCAGTGGCAGTGAAATAAATTCCCACAGAGCCATTGTCTCGATGCCAGACAAAGAACCTGGTGACCTGGTCTTGATCACTGACATCCACTGAGTCTGTAGGTCCAATGTCTCCATCACTCAACACTCCTCTCCTGCCTCACACTCAAAGAACGTTCCTTCAGCTCTCACCACACAGCCTGTTGTGTCTGGCTCAATACCATTGTATGCCACTGGAGCTACTGTATCTCTAGCTTCTCGAATTCCTGAATACACTCCTGCATGCCAGCTTATACTATTCAATACTAATACTGTTAATGAACTTACCACTCTGACATTCTTGCTGTGAGCTCAGATGAATTGAGAGAAATGCTACAAGGAAGACTCTCTCAAAGATCATGTTTGTCACTGCTGTCTGACTGACTACGCTTGTGATTACAGTGCACACAACTCAACTATTTCTTGGTTTACACACACACTTTTATTGTCAAAGACAAAATGATGGCTATTTCAAATTTTCATCAAGAAAAACAAACATCAAGGAAGAACACATGCTCCCTATACTTTACTACAAAGACATGGGTATTTATACACACAATAATGGTGACATCACATCCTTATAACGTACAGGCATGCGTGCTCTATGTTACATATACAAATCTGTGTCAAAGTGCAGTG